TGATCATTTTGGGGTTTAATGACCTCAGGCAGTGGAATTACCCCGTCACAGTTGCTCTGCGGGCTGCTGTCTCATGCATGTTCACCCTGCCGTCATGCTGACGGTAACTGAGATGAGAGCATCTGTCTGAGTCCGCCTCTCATCGCCTGTGCACCCACAGGCCTGGTCGTGAAAGCAAACACACAGAGGACAGTGACAGTGGTGTCATTTGCTCCGTGTGCTGCCCTGAGTTGTTGTCATGATATAAATTACAGACATGTTTGACTTCTCTGTGACTCCCTGCCAATGTAATGACTCATTACAAATGTTCCTTGAATAATGATTAAAGGGCTGCTCTCCACACCACGATCAGTTAACGTGTTGGGAGTATTACACATCACGTGAACACAGTCAATGTGATATCTTCTGCTGCTGCTACTATTTGTGTTATTTGTGTTATCTGTTGTTGTGGATTTCTTACTGTTTTTTTCTCTTGTACAGTGTTTTTATTTATTATTTCCTACTCTTACTGTTTTTATACTGTTTTTTTCTCTATCCACTTTGCTGCTGTAACATTGTAATTTCCCCATTGTGGGACAAATAAAGGAATATCTTATCTTCAGGGTTATCTCGGATTGGGCTGGGGTACCACAATATTAATAACAGAAGGCTTGCTTGTAACAAACTAAAGGTGGGGAGTCTGAAAGACGGGAGGCATTTACCTGGCTCAAAGTGAAGGGAAAGGTTGCATTGTGGGAAATGTAGGCTCCTTGACCCACACCCACACAAAAGTTGGGATAATTTCACGAAAAGACTGATGCCCTCTCCAATGATTTTATACGATTATAGAAATATATAGTTTTGATTCAATGAAATATTTGAATATTATTCATAATTAATTGATAAGTAAGTTGAATATTGTATTAAGTGATTGATTGTTTGGTCCATCAAATGTCAAACAATTAACTAACAAATAAACATGCCCATCACCATATCCCTTAAACCCAAGCTGATGTCTTTATTTGGTTGAATTTTCAGTCCAAACAGTCTAAAACCCAAAGTTATTCAGTTTACAGTGATATAAAACATATTTTTGCTTGGTAAATGAGCAGAACAATTTATTGATTATCAATTAATAGAGTAGAACTTTAGTTGAAAACTTTTCTGTTGGTATATTAATCAAGTAAGGCTTTGTAAATTTTTATAAAATTGAATTCTTGGGATCAAATGCTTACAGAGTGGGACTAAAGATTTTCATATGTGCTTTCAGATCATATGCAGTCTAAGTAACATTTTCCATGTTAGGTACCTCTCTGTGTTACTTTGTTTGACATTGTATGCCTGTCTTTCTCTCCTGCAGGGCGCCCTGACAAATGAGCGTGACTACGAGAGCGTGGTGATGATGAAGATGAGGCAGGCTGCTGAGCGACAGAGACTCATAGAACAAATGCAAAAAGATGATGAAGAGGACGCTTCCGGGTCATAGCACAACAGGATCCAGTTCGGTACCAGCCTGCGACTATTAAATGAATACCTGTTTCAGGCTTTAGTTTCATAAAGCCTCATAAGTGTTTTGTTATTATTTTTTGTATGTAATACACTGTAAGGCAGAATAAATCTTTTTAATAACGAAAAAGAAACGTTTTTCCCCAAATCTCTGGTTTTAGTCTTGTCTTTTTATATTGAGAATGTAGGATGACTGAGGGACATACAGAGTAGAGAAGAGGGCTCCTGCAGGATTCAGTGTTAAGCTGTGTGGTCCCTAAGGTAGGAGTCCTTATACTCAGGCTGTGGGGTTGAATCAGTACTGCACACTATCTAGTATAACCATATTGTAACACCACATTTAATCGAAGCGGTATAATTATGTCATTTCCATCTGTCAACCATTGTCTGGTTGCCTCATTATTGTAACCAAATCGAAAATCGACAGAGCAATGTAATGTAGTCATTCCTTTCTGTTGTCTGCATACACAATGAGTAACTCAGTAACTAATAAGTTGAGTCTTACAGCAACCCAAACCGCAGACTGCAATGTGACTACATGGAAATCATTTCTCCCCCATATTAAACCAGTAATTAGGCTGAGATATGAACACTAGGTAGGCTTTTATAGGAATTCTTGTGGCCTCATGATGAAAAGTGAAAATACTCTGAATGTCCTTCATTATAGATCTAGTGGTTTAAATGGTTGTTCCGTGGACTTTGTATACAATATATCTAAAGCTATACTCCTGACTGAAGAGGCCTTGTGGACTGCAATCTCTATGCAAACCATTTATTAGACAATACTATTCAATATATTCTCATGTGTGTCTATTCAGTGGGAAGATGGAGCTGGGAAAAGCTTAGCTTAGCTTAAAGCAATCTTGGAGAAATCCATTACCACAACAAATGTGACAAAGAGCGAACAACACATTCAGTAATGTAACTAACTATGGTGTGGTTTTGCAAACTACAGGCTACAGTTGCTGCTGCGAAGCTAACATGTAGAGAGGAATGAGACAGTTTTGCAGAGCCAGCACCCCAGCTCCAGACTGTAATACTCACAACTCTCCTGCAACTATAGCTAACATCACAACAACAGCATATCATGGCGAACTGGAAAGTAAGCTGATCGTCTGTGGGCAAGTAGTTTAACCTTTTTTTACCTGGAACACAGATCCTGGCTGGGAAGGCTGGAATAACAAGTTAGTGTTGTGTGGCTCAGTCTAATCCACTTTGTTTGTTTCCCGTTTACAGAGCCAGGGCTGTGTACAACCACCAAACAGCTAGCGGACTGCGAGTTGATATTTGGAAAAAAAAGATTATTTGAAAAGAAGTGTATTGGAATCGAATTGCTTATCCCACCTGAAGACTAGAAACATGGGGAAACTTGGCTCAATCCACCTACAGTTTAAGCACCTTTTAAAGCTCACTAATTAATACATTTTATCTAACTTGTTTAATCTGATCAAACACAAACTATAAAAATGACACATTGTGGTTTGACGGGGTTGGATGCTGACTTATTTCTTGGCAGGGAGAGGTGACTTTCTGTCTTGTTGTCACCGTTATGTTGCCAGGCAACTAGCGGAGTCCCCGGGAAGTCACTGCTCCCGGCCAAGAAGTTGTCTGGCGCGTAACCCCCCCCGTACAACCGCATCTGGCTCCAGCTTAAAATTGAATGGACAGACGTTCGCGTAGTATCAACCTTCTCATCTAACTCTCAAGCAAGTAAGCAAATTGTTTTTTTTTTTTTCTTTGCACATGCAAAGAACCCTTGCTTTAATCACCAACTGAAAGGCTTTCATTGAAGGAGTCCTGAAACAATTTCTGAGCAACTTCTACCATGTGACACTGAGCATGAACAGCGCACGAACATCCATTTTTACTTAAAACCAGGTTGTTTTTCAGCAATGGGTGTGCTAATTTTGGGGCAACCTATGGTGCTATTATTGCAGCAAAACTATTCAGATTTGTAAATGCGTGTATAGATCTAAAAATGTGTGGACAAATCTGAATCTACAAAGTATTTGAGCTGGAAATACAGACAAGACACGGACTCTGAACACACAATTGCAGATTCCTGTTCACATTCACAAATCTCAGTACATATTTACACTCTCCTCTCACATTTGTAAATAGTTTTGCTACAATATTGGCTCCACACAACCCATCTAAGTGTTTCCATTTCATGCACTTCACTCCACCCATGGCACTGATGGATCATGTCACAGGCTGTGGACCAGCTTAAATTGAAGAACATGCCACTTGCTTCAAAAACTGTCTTATGTTCTGTCCTGTGATACTGACCTCAACAAATTTTCTCTAAGTTGTTGTAAGCTGTTTCTCAATAGGCTTATGCAACAGATACCTAGAAGACACTGTATTGCTTATTTATGTTCTCTGAAGTGACACGCTACCACTCTGTGACCCAGATTAAGTCAGACATTACAGTGCCAGACTGCTGCGGTCACCATGAGTTTTGTAACAAGGTCCTCTGCCTGTGGAACATCCATCCATCCAATAGTCTTATTTTCCTGTCCCTTGGGGGAACTATGGCGTAATGGTGTTTCTGTATTTGCGGGCCTGTGTGGCGGCGCTTTCTCCTGTCATTGTGTTATTTAGGAGCCACATGGCAGCTTTGCAACATCCAACCCAGTCATCCATCTCTCTGCGAATCCTGCTCCTGCCTCTCCGTGGCTCTGTTACACAATGTCCAGCTGTGAAGCGGTGTGGCGTGGTGGGAGACATCTGCTCCTCTCCTCCTGCAAAATCCCCTCATCACATGGTTTTGTTTATGCGTAGCTTTTTTCATATCCCGGCAATGTGAAAAAAAGCCCAGAAACACACAAACTCTGTCCAAATGACAACAGAGGAAATACAATTACAGGAAACACATTCACCACCAACCCTGCCCTGAGCCCACAGTGGCTTGTGCTGCATGCGAACCAGCGATGGGAGGATGAGCCTGTTTTATGCTCCATCCTATCAACCATTACAGCAGAACCTTGGAATCTTCTTTGCATCTTCTTCCGCCCCGTGTTTTCCTTATATTGTCCATGTCAAACCTGTCACAATGGTGAGTGGAACATTATCTGGAATCTCCGTGGTCTCAGGACTGGGAAGCACCAGCACCTTTTGATCTTCAGTGTGGAGGTGGGAGTTAAGTCATGTGTGAGGCAGCAGGATTGGTAAGAGTTTGGCTGTGAGCTGACTGGCAAAGTTTCTGGTTTGTGTGTTAGTGATCTGGGCTGGCCCCAGACATGTGCTGGCAGACCTGGGGCTGTAATGAAACCACCCAGCGTTTTTTGGCTCTCACAGGCAGACCTCTGTGTGACTGCAGTGCTAGTACCTCATCGCGGGGCATGCAGCGTTCCTGTAAGGTGCCACAGAGCTGCAAGTGCTCGCAATAAGAGCGTTTATCATTTTTCCTAATGTGGATAATCAGAAGGCTATATACAAGTCTTCCATTTCGTCTGTGTTAAATCTAATAAGGACTGCAAATTGTTTTCTTTTATGAATAAGTACACAAGTAATCCACATCATTACATCATTTAATCATGAGCATATGATACACTTACAGAAGTATCTATACACATAAATGTATCTAGCATAGTGTTTTATTTACTTGGGTGAGGCCTTTCAGACATGCCTTTAATTAAGTTCTTACGTATTAGCAGAAAAACTGTCCCCCACTGCCAGTAGTAAATAGCAAACAATATGTCTCGTAAAATCTCTGGAATGTAGTTTGGTGTTCCCCTGAAATTGGTGAACTGTCACCCATTGAACGTAATCTGAAACCTTACGTCTGGGATTATCTCAATCTAAGAACTTCATTTTCTCTTGACAAAAGGCTGATTTAGAATCTGTCTGTGTGTTAAATGTAGAGCCAAGAAGCAACGTTTTAAAAAAAAGTCGACTAAGTTCTTCATCACAGTTCATTCATCCTTTTAAGGCTTATACAGGTATTTTGATATGAGAGCGTATCTATGTTCCCCAATCCCCTAACCATATCACTAGGACTGGGGAACAAAAGACCGTTTGTCATGTTCCCATTACATTCCCATTATGTGCCATATAAATGTTGGGAACACAGCAATGACCCCTTTTTATACAGTCAACAGTCTGATCACTCCGTCTCCTTGTGGATGCACCACACCAGCGTCTGTCCCACCCCCGTCATCGTCAGCACGCGGAAGCCGATCTTCTCCAACTTGTCCAACACCAGGCGAGGAGGGTCATCCACATGGTACTCGGAACTAAATTAACATAAACACAAAAGTAATTCTACTTTCCGCAGATGTGGGAAAGTCGAATGCTGTTAATTGTTCTAGTGCTTGTTCACTTCCTTCCACACCTTGGTTCATTTCCCAGCAGCATTTGAATCAGATTGCCAATGACAACACTTCCCTGATCTGTATTCCATCAGCTTGAATGGTTTATTCTAAATCTGCAAAGCAGCAGCCTTCCTCAACCACATTGGGAGGTTTTTCCCCTCCATGTGACCTGATCTCAGCTCTGTCGTCAATATGTATGTAGTCTAACTGCTGAAATGAAAGAAACACCGGTGTTAAGTGCCTAAATACGGAAATGTGGCTCAGCGTGAGCACATTTACAGCACACCTGGGAGTAGATTCTGCATGTGTGTGTGGGCAGTTTACACATTACAGTTTATTAGTCCCTGTTTGCAAAATTGGGGTGGAGATGGTTTCGTAAAAATGATAAAATCAGGATAGAAATTCTACATCCCTTGAGGGACATTTCAGTCTCGGTGCTTTTGTGGATGATTCCTTGAGCAGAACTGTGCGTACAAATCTCTCATTTTACTTTCTATCTTAAGGTAATGCCCAAATTTGACTATTCACCTGCAGCATTTACTTAATATACCCCTACTACAATATCGGATTGCCCTATTTACAAAATACTTACAAATTGTTTCCCAGCATGGTTGTTTTCCTTGCTCCCAGGTAATTCATGACAACTGGATCAGAATATTCATCTCCCACATTTGTTGGACCGTTCTCCTGTAAGAAGTGATTAAATACATTAACCAAAGAGCTGATAGTTTGCTTAAGATTGACTGAGAAATTATTGCTTTGCCAAAACAATATCTGTTGTCTGTTACTGGTGCTGGCTGCATATCATATGGCTCCACCTGCATGCTTCTGGCAGGTGGATCTTAATCCCTAATAACTACACAGCCTAAAAATAGATCATCCAATACTCTAAGGCTGTAGAATTAGGTTGCTTGAGTCGTGCAGACAACAAAATGAACATGCGCAACAAGAGGCCGACAACTGGGCAACATGTGTTTTTAATTTAGGGCACCATGTCAAAAAAAAAAAAACACACACACGCACAGGCATAGTCAGGCGGCTCGCTCCGCTTGTAGCCTTGACTGTTTGTTGTTTTCCAGCATGCGTAATATCACAGGCTACTGCATAATCATAATCTGCAACCTTGATTGATTAGTAATATGCGCGGTGTTTTGCTCTCTGGCAAATAAACAAATCCCTGAATGTCCCAACTCCAGCGCGTCTCCTCCTAAAAGCATGACACGAGTCATTTACAGATGCAAGGATACACACCAATCGGATCTGCGTGCTGATGAACATGTAAGGCATCCCTGCTCCCCTGGCGACGGACCGCTATTCCTCTGGGAATTACTGAGGAGGTTTGTGCACACAGACGCGACAGTCCCCCTCTCCAACTCGCGCTTCTGGCTGACAGTTCTCTGCGGAATGCGGAAACACCCACCGCCGCGGACCAATCACAGCTCCTCTCTCAGCATCTGTCAACAGCGTTTGCTGCTCGGTACACAAGGTCTTGCTCAACTGATGCGATCAGTAGTTTATTGACATGAGAAACGTTGACCAATGTGCATGTACCAGAGGAACTTTTTAATTTTTTTTTTTTTATTGAGTTCACAGAAATATTTTATCATTCAGTGTAATTACTCAGCCTAGTTTTTTTTTTAATACATCCTCAGCACAGACGTCTCATGTAAGTTCTCGTCATTCTGTGGCTGGGAAAATTGATATTTTGTCTGGTGTTTTCACCTGCATGGATGTTAAGTAATTTGTTAAGCAAGACTCATAAGACTTGAACTTTCAAAATAGAAGAACAGCTATAGCTAAATATATTTAGCATTTTCCTTTTATTCCAGGCCACATTGGCTTGCTTTCTACAAGAAATAAAACATTTTCAAGCACTTCAACTTTGCTCATTTTGTTTTAAGTTCACAAAGATTTAGTTTATGTAATACATTTGCTTAAAAAAAGGGGTTTTGTGTGCATGCATGTATTACATTGAACCCACACTGTCTGGAACTCCAATTTCCTCCTCAGAGATTTATTAATTTCCTCCTCAGCGCAACAATAATAATTTTGGATCAGTCTAGTGACTGAGAGGGAAATGAAAGACACAGACCAAAGGCAAACAACAATGGCGGGGACTCTGATAAAATCAGCAATATGAATGTAATGTCCCACTGATGCCAGAGGAGCCCGACGGACATTCAGCCAGCCTTTTCATGTCATGCTCAGTAGGAAGGGTCATTTAAAGCCTGATTGCAGCTTGATGTTGTGATGGTAGGCAGACATAAATCCAAGCAAACCAGAGCTCATTCAGAAATGGCCTGTTTCACAATCAATGGTGAACACATTATCTTGGTGGTTTAGACTGTATCATATATTGTTGATACGGCTCTGCATTGCCAGGATGCATGGATACTGTCGAATGTGTCTGCCATGACAATGTCAGACCACCTCATGAAGTGATCTAGAGCTTGTAATCTGTAGCCCCTTCATTCAGAGGGATGCAGGTGCTTGGTGAGAATTGCTGAAAAGATTGCCACCTACTGGCTTCCAAGATCATTGTCATCCAGTTTGTGTTACTTGTCTGTTTGATTTTTCCCACAGCGTCTTTCACATTGGTCAGAAACATTCACATACTGTTCGTTTAAAACGAATAAAGACTCACATTGCTTTTCCCTTTGGAAAACATCCACTTGTTGATTAGACTTGTTGATAGTGTTTTGGCTTTCAGTAGACTTCCTTGAGATGAATTCCATGCTTCCATGTGAATCATTTGTGGTGAGAAAAAGAAAAGGGGTGTTCCTGAGGAATGTCTATTTTCTCCTGTTTTATCTGTCCCCATTAACCTGAGACCTATATTCAGGAAAGAAAACAGGAAAGCAGCAGGGTTGTTGCCGAGGCCCCAAAAATAAACCAGAGGACCCCCTATTGCCAAAAAGAACACTCTCTCCAAACATGTTCCTACCTGAGCCACTTCCTGGACTCCCGCAGTGTCTTCCTGCACCGGCTCATCTGCTCCTGGTTATTGGAGTGCAGGGTCACCTCTTCTGTGGCCTGTGGTGACAGTGGAGCTCGTCCCTGGTGGGTGCACAGGAAGCAGTTTGATCTTTTGATGAGGCCTTTGCCTTCACCTTCTCAGCTAAAGTGTGATGGCATCTTGCAGGAACCCTTCCATCAAATGAACTACTAGTGCCATGTAAAGAATTTCCTACAACGAAAAGAAATTAAAACGTAAATGCTATAACAGCTGTTACTGTGGCTCTACTATGCAGAGCCCTTAAAACTTCACATGAGAAAAAATTAGATTTAAAGTCTTTGCAATCAAAGCAAACCAGAGCTGATTCTGTAACTGGTTCAGAAGTGATCTCAGAACATAAAATATCTTCCTCACATATCCTATAAGAAAAGTTAAAAACAGCAAATTATTGAACTGGCATGTGGTATACAAAAAAGAAACGCAGAAACACAAATCATTCTTAAAAAAATAAACTTTATGTCTCGTGTTGTCTAACGTCCAGTGCCTCAGACATCCCGCACACAATATCCAGATTTCTATGATAAATATGTCTGACGGATTTACTTGCTGTGAATATGTGTGGGTGAGGACCTGCGCTGGATTGTTGCACTGCTAAAGCAATCACTTTAAATCACTGAGTGGGGAATGAATTATACAGCAGCAGGCAGTGTGTGTATATGATGATTTACTGTAGGTGTATGTTGGAGTGATATTCCAATATTCAGAGGAGATATTTAAACTGTGGGAGAGTGGAGACAACAGGCAGCTCTTTGATAGATTGGGTGTTAGGGTTACACTCTCTATAGGTTTACATCTGTTTAATTGTGATGAATCACTGTATTGCTGAGCCATGTATTTCTTCTGAAGACACTTTGCACTTATACTTGTGTGTTTCTGCATCTGCCTGTGCAGCGTAGTCCCCCTCAGAGGAGCTTCATGGTCCCTCCTCTGCAAGGAGATGCATCACTGACCTCCTTTCCTTTGCTGTTTTCCAGATTACACCCAGCAGCTTACATAAAGTGTCTCAAAGCTGCAGAGATATTACCCAGCATCCATAGCAAGGTTAAATTGTCCTTTCCTCCTCCTCTCTTTGTCTCTTCTTTTCACCTTACCTCACCTCTCTTCCGGCTTTTCCACGGCGCTCTCACTGATAGATGATACTGTGTGGCTTTAGGAATTACACATTACGTCACAGCTGTACGTACAACACTCTGAAACATTTCAAGCGCTGTCACCAGGTCAACATTTAGTTGAGAAACACCAGGATGCGGTTTCCGTGGTTGCGCATACTGGAGGGGTCTGTTTAGGGAGACTTTCTTTCAGTGATTAAGAATAATGTCATCAGAAATTTGGAACGACACGTTCTTACACACTGCGTTTTGTCTTTCATCACCTCCATTCAGAGCTGGATTTTGTGCAAGAAGCATGTCCCTATGGGCTACCACAAATGGGACCGATTCGGCAATTAGTAACAGGAAACAACATGATGCTAATAAACACAGAGGAACAGAGAAGGGATTTAAGAGGGCTTGAATGTATCAGCTATTTAGTTTGTAGGTCTGCATTCCTCATGCATCCTTCACTGCATCCCAGTGAGTTTGACCACAGTAATGTGCGTTTTTGTAAGACTAATTATAACTACTTAGCTGCAGTAAAGCCAACTATGGATGCATTAATTAGACATATAAAAACTGTAAAAATTAAATCAATTATTCTCTTTGCTAAATGTGAATTTCTTGACCTTGGGGTCATTTCAGTTCATCCAGAAAAGCAGCTGCTCTAGATAAAAAATCATTTGCATTAGCAAATCAACAGTTATACACTTTTTGAAATTGAAAAATCAGGTGCATCTTGACAACATTAACTTTTGTGCAGCCTAACCATTGCTTTTCGCCAGTGAATTTAATGTCAAAACTCTGAGAAGCTTTTTCAATGGACTGGAAAGACTCTTAGTTCCTGGAAATTAGGTAGGCTTTCTAAAAATCGGAACTATCAATTTTTAAAGACCCCAGCCTGACCGCCATTTCTCAGCTCATTCATTAAGTTTTATTTCCTCTCATTACCAGATCATAAACGTGTTTATTGCCATTTTACCCCCAAAGTCAAACATTTGTTTTAATGTCCTGAAATTACTTTTTTTTTTACATTTAAACTATGATGATACTGGTTAACATCTATTGCTTTGAAGGTTTATAAAAATAGTTAATTATGGCTTAAATTTAGTACAGTACAGTAGTTAAATACACTTTTCCCTGAAGAATGACTTCTTAGATACAGCACAAGATACACAACATAATGTTTTTAGATTTGAAGTGTAACTAAGTATTTTTTAAATAATTGCTCCAATCAGTGCAAAATAGTAATAGTAAATATCTCTTTCAAGTAGCTTTTAAGGACAGGATATAAAGTCATGGATAAAAAGTCTAAACAATTGGTAATTGGACAGAGAGACAGGAATGACAACATGGATGCATACCGCTGGGACTGAGTCACATCATCGTTCCCATCAGGCCTGTGGTTATTATCATGTTTTTTATTATATTGCAGCATGTGGTTGTTGTTTATGAACAAGTCCGGCAGAGGTAATCTGCTCTGTGTATCGACGCAGATTCACTACACCAGGAATGGCTGCTCCTAGAAAAACAACTACGACAGTGAGCTTGGCAAGAATGAAGGGACAGCTTGACTTTGTTTAACGCATAACAACAGCAAGACTGCACAATAGCAGCCCTGGCAGTTGCCTTTTATTTTACAGGAGGCTCTGAGACGTTTTGCTGGTTTACAGTGAAACACGTCTTAGCTGCTCTGTTAGTGCTGTGTGTTATACGATGGCATTTCGAAAAGCAGCTGCTTAGCGTAGCAGCTGCTATCGACAGGGATTCAGGTCTTTTACTTCACCCGCTTACTGTTAATGACTTCTGGTCATCACCTGTTGCTATGGTTACTTTGCTATCTAATGCTAAACTTGACCCAATGTGAGGGCTGAAGCGTTTGTGATTTATTGGGACCGTTAAATCCTTAACAAGCGTACGTCAGCTACAGAAGCAGACATTACATTGTCCCATTCAAAGCCCAACATGATTTTCCATTAATAAATCAGGAGATCCTTGAAACGAAGAACCCGACTGTCTGCTAAATATCCGGTTGGGAAAGAACTGTATGAACAGAATATCCAGATGCATAGCGGTCTTTAATATTGCGGTACGCAGTCAACAGTATAATCACTTGAAATAGGAAAACTTCAATTGCTGCGGCCTTCACCCGCCCTGACAACAAAGGAGGAAAGAGAGCGACGGACGATGGCTCTGATCAAGGCCATATGTCTTATGGGGTTCCCTTGCTATCCTCTGTGCCCTGCATTCTTAACATCAGAAAGTGGATTTTCAGACTGAGAGTGATTGGATGTACAGGTGACACATACAAA